GACACCACCTTCAACCCGAAACCTTAAGGCATTGTGTTATGGGTCTTTCTTCCTTATATGTTGTTCAACTTTCTCATTCTTACACAATGTGAAACTTAGACTCACACTTAGATTTCCCCACAGATCATATATCCACATACACTAGAATAAATATAGTATGACATTGTCTATAAAAGAACAAAGACGGATCACATTTACTTGCTACAAACCCAAATTGAAGAAGGGTAGATTCGAGTCAATCAAACCATTGCCCAGGTCCCTATCATAGACCATAAGTAGTCTTGTTAACGTTATAGACAAGAGACTTATTAGGATTTTCAAAACCTAAAGGTTGTACCATGTAAACTGTCTCTTCCAAAGGACTATCAAGCAAAACATCCGGCAGAAATAATTCCCAATTAGAGGTAAGGGCAATAGTAATTATCAACAACCTCATTTTATTACTTCTTTATTTAGAAGATTACAATTAAAAAGTGGAAATATCCTTGATTCATAAGAATCCAATTATTTAAGTGTTGTTATTGTATTTTCTAATTTAGCTTTCCAATCTTGTATATATGACTGATTTATTCCAGTAATAAATCTCATAAAATGTAAGGATCGGATTTCAAATGTTGTAGACAACAGCCAAAAATTAATAATGAAATGTGCAACAAATGGAGAGTACCCACCAAATTTTTTCAAGATGTAATTTAAATCCCCAAAAATTAATAATGAAATGTGCAACAGATGGAGAGTACCCACCCAATATTTTCAAGATGTAAATATAAAGCCCCATAATTAATAATGAAATGTGCAACAGATGGAGAGTACCCACCCAATTTTTTCAAGATGTAATATAAAGAACCTTCTCCCTCATGACCAATGAGATGGCCAAGATACCTGCTTGGCCCTTCAGTGTAATGATGAATTTCAGGGGTTATTGGCCATGCAATTCTTAATTTGTGACCTTGCTTTATTGGGACTGTCCTGACAAGAATCTAAAACAGAAACCCAAAATATGAAATATATTAAAATCAATGGTGAAGAAATTAGTTAGATTATACCATTAAGATATAGAAAATCTGCACCTGCAAATGCTCTGATTTGCATGGCTGACCACAAGGATGGAAACAGTTTTTGCTGGTGTTCCTAATATCCTGGAATTTTTCTTCTACAATGTTTTGAATTTTATCTAGGCTTTCTGAAAATATCCATGCACAAATAACTGGGTTCTAGTCATTCAAAAAAGATAAAAAAATAATATATTGTAAACAAAATATCTGTTACCATTTGTGTATACAGCAAGATGCATTAGGTTAGCAGAATAGTTTTCATCATAAAATTTGAGAAGCTCATTCCTTGTGTCTAATCCTTTTGCTTTAGGTCTAACTTCCAAAGTGTCCCAGTTCCCTACAAAACATCTATTTTAGAACACTGACAAAGAAAGGATTGTGATGAAAAGAATATCGCAACCATGATAGTTATTGCAAATATTCCAGCTTCATTTAGACAAAACATATTTCTTTCAGAATAGATTAAAATAAAGTTAAGAATAGTTTTAAGCATTGATAACCAGAGTAATTTAGGTGCAGAATCAAATCAATGACATAATACTAATATGCACATAACATGAACATGAAACTCATGCTTATTTTTTTTTTATTAAAAAAAAAACACACACACATATTGTTACTTGGAACATATTATTTTCAACTTCAGGGAAATTATAAGGAAATATCTTCCAGTTGGCTTAGAAGACACTGCTATCTGTGATAAAAGAAAAGAGAAAGATCCAAGAAAATCTAAAATCATAGTCAGCTGTCTTTATATCCAAAATACAGCCATGACATTCCCCATGTACTTCAAAGAAGTTTGCAGAAAAATAGTCCATTAAGTTTATCCCTTGTAGACAAATTTTATTTGAATTTTAATACACTATAATGCATTTAAACAGATAGAAATACAAAGAAAGACAGACTCTCGAAAGTAAATGAACTTCCGATGAAGATTGCCTGTTAAAAGGAGCATTACAAAACATTAGTCTGAAAACACTTCCTAATGTTTTGGATTGACAGAAAAATATTACACGTCTTCAATCTCTAACAAGGAAAAAAAGTTAACTTGAAAAAACATCAAATCTAGCTCCTGGCATTCATTATCATATTTATCAAGTAGACAATTATTTCCAACATTAAAATAAAAAATAGGAAGAATTATCATTATCAAACGTCTTAAAAGGTTTGGACACATAAGCAAGGGATTAGCTCACTATCAGTTCTTTGACAAAATAATCCAATCACAAGCAGTATGGTGCAAAAGTTCAATTGTTTGAGTTTAGAAACCAAAAAGAAAACCACTGACCTGTGCTAAATTTATGATATGGATGCTCTTCATCACTGAGGTGTTTCTGAAGCTGTATAGATTGTAATGTTACAGGGGGAGGAGGGGGAGACCAAGAGAGATTATAAACATTTCTCCATGAGAGGCTTAAAAACACAAATTGTAATGCCAGTAAAGTACCCAATGATTCAAAGACATATTGGAAGAGAAAGACAAGTATATAAGCAGGATAAACAAAGTAGGAAAGGAAGAAAAATGGATGCACTGTAAAGGCAACAAATTTTGTCCAACCTCTTTGAATAACAAATAAATTATGAATCTTTTTTTTGGTTTATAAATCCATGTTAAAGGTTATTAAGATTAGTCAATCCTAGGTTCAGATTTGAGAGACACGACAGGCAATCCTACTGACCTTTCCTCAACATTGCTATCAATCTAATTCGGCAAGAGAAGCAACCATAGTTCTTCTATATTACATGTCCTACCAATTGTCAGTCAAATAATTTCATGAGACCCTGGCCTCAAGCATCAGTTACCAAACAACCTTCCAATGTTCCATCACTCTAAAAGCACCATAAATAAAAGCAACACCACACATATGGAAATGGAAGAAAAAGGACAAGGTTAACTATTTCAAGAAGTGATCCCTAAAGTAAAGATATAATGAGAAAAAATCTAACTGATGATAGACTTCCCTATACATTTGACCTCGGAAGTCTAAATAGTGTTCCACAATTGAAGTGACAGGTCAAGTGTATGCACACACATGAAACTATATGGGATACCCATGTTTAGCACCACATTGCAATGCATGAGGTACTTACAGCTTTGAAACTTAATCCACAGCATTTTAGACCAATTCAGCATCTCACAGTTGTAAAGAGCTGCTACATGGATACAGGAAATGTCTTGAATATCACATAGTTATCAATCTTGGATGGTTGGATGTAGCTAACCCAAAATATGTTATAGCATTATTGAACATAATGGGATGGCTACTACTCTGAAATTTTATATATCCATAAATGCTCTAAAAACAAAATCTGAAAAACATTTAAAATTTCAAATGCAATATATATTAAATACTCGATCAAAAGTGAGGACGGGTGTTGCACAGAAAAAAGAGCACAGGTTGGGTGTTTAGAACAAAGGTAATTCATAGTCTAGAGGGGCAAAGAAAGGGTGGGTTTCAGAAGCATTAAAAACTATGTCCAATAGAGAAATTCTTTAAATTCTAAAGTGTAGGAAATCTCAACTTTGCCTCTAACCCAGCCCACACCCCCAGGGAAAAATGAGGGTGTTCAGAGGGCAAAATGGGTTTTCAAAAATCCTTACTCTAGCTCCACAATCGCCACTATTTAGGCTGCAATTGCAACCACTACTTCCACTATTCAAAAAAGCATAGATATTCAAATTTTTAGCAGTCTGAGGCCACTCTGCACCGCTAGAGTGCTATTGATAATTATAAATAAATATTAAACTATGTCCCATTGTAAATAAAATAGATGGCATCTGCTACATGTTAATACTACTGGAAAATCTGTCTCAAACAATATAGAATTCTAATCACAACCAACCAACTTTACCACACAACCCCCTAAACATGATCTAAAAGCAATAGCACACACCTGGTTCATTCTCCATCCATCAGATAATAAATTCTTCTGGTTTTCTGAAAAAAAAAAAAAAAAAAAAAAAGAGGAAATGTTTACCAATAAGAAACAAAGGAATTAAAACAAAACACATCAACCAATGAAAAAGATTAGCTGACCAGAGTCAACAGCTTTAATTTCCCTCATGGTGGCATCAGGAGACATCAATGGTTTCGTGAAGAACTGAGCAAATCTGGGAGACAAACCATACAGAGCTGAGAATTTTTAATAGGGATTGGAAAAAGAAAAAATAAAAGCAGGATCTACCTGTCTAGAGCCTCATCAAAGCCATCTGTGTTAACCTCAAAATAGTAGTTGGTGTGTTCGGAAGATGTAAAAGCATTGGTGCTTCCTCCATGCTGCATCAGAAAGGCAGACCACAGCAATGAAACCAAAAGAAGTCATTAGCAAAAGGTAAGAAAATTTAAAAATAAATAATAAGTCAATGGAACTGCTCCAGCTGTCCAAGCCCCAATTGATATTGATATATATATATATATATATATATATATATATATATATATATATATATATATATATATATATATATATATATATATAAAGATGAAGACTATTAATCATTCTTAAAAATACAATATGCATCTGCACAGATACTTGCAAAGTAGGAGGCCAGATGCATGAAACTGAAAATATAACATAATTTAAGCTCAACATACGGCAATGAATGATCATAAAGTCTTATAGAGATTTCTCTCCATTTCATTCCCTTGGGAAAAATTGAGAGGCCAAGAGACCACATTCATACCACTTCACCACCAGAACCAAAATCCAGCCAGGTCTTAAATCCTAAACCCTCCAAGTTCATGTGGTTATAAAAATACAGTCCAGACATGACAAAATTAAATTGAAAAGGTATAATATATATACAGTTCATTTTGTCGTAATGTAAACAGGAAACACACCTCTTTTTCTTAAAGCTATACCTGCCATGAAAATCAATTACAGGCAACTTAAATAATAAATTATAATTATCAAGCTTGTAGCATTGATAGTTGAAATATCTCATTACTTGGTCAGTGATTCTATGAGGTCTACATCATTTTCCTATCAAATCAATGTGAACATATATGCGTATCAATAAGTTTGAGAAGGGATGCAAAGAATTTCAGTAAAAGAAAAAAGTATTTTACTGAATTTAAATTTTATATGGTTTTTATTTTACAGGAACTTTCTTATTTTATAGTATTTTAGTGTTAGAATAGCATTGAGTCCATTCTGAATATCTGCAAATTTTCTCTCTAATTAAAATTTTGATTTTAGTCTGTTAAAATCCACTCACCCACTTCCCCTTTCAGTGTTTCTGAGTTCTGCAAGCATAATAGAAGAATTGTATTTTGATAATTCCATAACTTAAAGGGAGCAGACATTATGATACCTCAGTAATATACTTGGAGTAGCTATCTTCGACTGGGTATTTTTCACTCGCATAAAACAGCATGTGCTCTGTCAGGGAAAAACACGAATAACCAGAATAAAATTTTTGAAATGAATTTCATTTCAGACAAGATAGTTCTTAACATAAATTAATAAAATCCAGTCGCTAGACTCTAGTATCTATTTTCTTTGTTCCTAACAGCACTGCATAATGTTCTATATATCAAATTACCAACCCAAACATCACAAATAGAAAGTGCCCCAACAATTAGCTCCTCCTTTTTATGTCTACACTGGATCTTATTCATATGGATTGAGTAACAGTTTTAAACTATCACAGATGTACTGACTAATATCCTCCGCCTCCTTCCCCTCTCATATCATAAAATGCTGGTTATGTCACAATGTTTTAAATAAATTGTCGCAGTTACATCACGTTCCCAGACAAATGTGGCTGATGTCGTCACAATTGTAGTAGTGGAAACTCAAAAAACCTTAACATCGGGGCCAAAATAATGGTCACGGAGCAGCTTTAAAACCTTCATAACTATAATTGCACATCAAACTTCAAACAATGAATCCTCTTCAGACCCGTAACACAGCGACCAAAATCCTATACAAATCGAAACCTATACGCGACAGAATAGAGTCAAAGCTGGAAAACGCAGAAATACCGAGGAAATGGGCGAGGCCTTCGAGGCCAGCAGGATCACTGAAGGAACCAACACCAACGTTCATGGAAGCAGCACACTGCAACGAACAAATCGAAACACAGAAACGGAAGAATCGTGAAGGGAACGAGCGAATTGAAACGGAAAAAGATACTCTAATCGGAATCGGAATCAGAGATCGAAGAGGAAGTCGACCTTATCGGCAACGGGATCGCTAATGAGGAGCACTTGAAGCGAGTTGCGAAGCACGACTCTTCTGTACTCCCTCTTGTCTATGTGAGCCTTCACGATTTCCACGTCGTCCTTCACCACTGTCATCTTCTCCATCGCTCCGATCAACCCTAACGCGTTCTCGTTTTCGCTTGGCAGCGCTGGAAGGTAATGATTGCGTTGTTCTGTTGCTTTCCTTGCGCTCGATACACGAATGGACAAGAGTGTGCAGAGGATTGATATTTACCGATGACGAGTCAAGGTAAGCAGAGACGGCGACTACCACGCCGACTCTGTTTTGTTTTGTTCTGTTATATTTGTATTTGATTTTATTTTCGAGTTTTCTTTCGCTTTTTTTTTGTCATATGTCAAGTGTTAAACAAGATTAAAATGACCTGCCTTCAAATAAATTAATGATGTAATAATGACGTAAAGTTTTTTTTTTTTTTTGAAAGAGACTGGCAATTTCTAGGATCTACATGCATGTGAATTGAGGCAGGGGCTGCTCCCTCTGGGTAGGTAGGTAGTAAACAGTGTAACGACTGGCAATCTAAGTCATTAATTAGAAAGTGATAATTAAATTAAAATATTCTTATCTTTAATGATAAGAGAGCATGTTCACTTTAAAAATTATAAAATGAATGTATTTAGATTCCCCCTATTCATGTATGCAGCAGAGATTACTCGTTTATAACAATAAACATTGTTTAATCTGTACTGTGTAGTAAAATTAGAACGAGTATGCATGTCACAGTGAATTGAAAGACGCATGACCAGAAAATTTTCATTAAGAACATTATACACTTTTTACATTAACCGCTGCACACATTTAACATGAACATGTTTTTCTTTCCTCAACTTCAGATGACTTTGGTTTTAGTTTAAAATAAAATTTTGATTAGCTTCAATTTTATATATTTTTTAATGTTTAGTTTTTATCATTATTATGACCACTAATGATGATGTGATATTTATATGGATAATTAATTAATATGTGATGGGATTACTAATCTCATGTGTTAAGAGATTGAAAGATTAATTTATAGTCAACCTATTGTGATAGAATTTTGATGAGTCAAATAAGATGATAGGTACCCAAATTAAAATTACATAAAATAAATAAAATTTCCAGTATTATACTATTAAACAGATGAAAATTCAAATCTCTATGTCACAAATTAAATTGAAATGTTTTTATGAGTGACACACCAAAGAGTGTGAAGAGTGTGGATAATAACAGATATATAATTAAACAGGCTTACATCAAACAAATGATCCAAGCATAATTTAATGTGAGCTAGTGTACTTATTGGAACCGTTTATTTGGATTGGTGTATTCAAACATTAAACTTTTGCTATATAAAAGTTTTTACCCTTAATGATATTTTTATAGATATAAAGAGATTAAAGCGTTTCAGTTTCACTCTTCCCTTTCCTTTTTGCAGGAAGCCAAGACACAATCTTCTCTTCCAAATAAACCCCATTTCTATTATGGATAAAAGTGTTATGGATGAAGGTATCTTTTTCTTTATGGTATAAGAGCATGTTTATAGTATGATATATTATGTTGTTTCGTTCTTTCTTACGTCTTGTCTGGTTCTTGATAATGAATTCAGCTACTACTCAGATCCTCAGTAATGTTGATCAGACTTTCCCTTCAAGTCCCTATTATCTTTATTGATGAGAAAGTTCAAGTTTAATTCTTGGTTCTCCCCCTTTGAATAAAACTAATTACCCTTCTTGGAGTATAAGTATGAAAAGAGTCCTCCAATCCAAGAACAAATTAAAATTCATAGATGGTAATATCAAAACTCCCTTTCCTAATAATCCTTTGTATGAACCATGGGAAAGATCAAATGTCATGATTCTTTCCTAGATAAACATAATCTTATCACCTCAAATAACTAAGAGTGTTGTTTATATTGATAATGCTAAAGATCTTTGAGATGATTTAAGGGAAAGATTTTCTAAGGTGATTATTTTAGAATTTATGATTTGCTTCAAGATATACATTCTATTAGGCAAGGGGAAAGGAACATCACACAAATTTTCACTTACCTTAAAATTGTTGTTTGGGAAGATTGAATGAGATCTATAATAATGTGAAAACCCATATTCTTTTGATGAAACCTTTACCTAGTATAAACAAAGTCTTTTCTTTGGTCATTCGACAAGAAAGACAGATTATTGGTACAGGAAATATTAATGGTGAAAATATATTGTTGCTTAACATCGTTGAAAAACATTGCTAATTGGAAACAACAAGAATGAGGTTCTTGGAAATCACAAGGTAGAGGGAATGGAAGGCGTGGTCAAGGCAGAGACAAAGGTAGAAATCACAATCATGGTCAACAATGTTCTTATTGTAACAAGATGAACCATATGGTTGAAGAATGTTACTCCAAGCATGGGTATCCCCCATGGTATAAACAATCTACAGTTCAAGATAAAGGAAATTAGCAAGTCTACAATCTCAATGTAAAGGATGACTCTCTACAGTTTCAGCCTAATAGTCAAGAGAGTAATTAGTTCACCTCGAAACAAATGCAAAAACTTCTAAAACTTTTGGATGACACACATAATATTAGTCATAATATCAACCACATCCAAAACAACAATTATGGAGTTCCCATGCTGAAAACTAAGCAAGGTAAAAATTATTGGATTCTTGACACTGGGGTCACTATCATGTGACCTTTATTAAAATAAATTTGTTACCTTCTACAAAATAAAACCTATTCACATAAAACTCCCTAATGACTCTTTTGTTACTACTCACAATGCTCAGACTATACAACTTTCAAAAACATTTTTTATTCTTAATGTCTTATATATCCCGAGTTTTCCTTTAACTTGATTTATGTACAAAGTTTAATTAAAGATTTGAATTGCAAACTAAATTTTTTGTCAGATTCAAGATAATACTACATACAAGATGATTAGGCAAGCTAGTCTTCATAAGGGCTATATTACCTTGACAATCTTAATTCTGATGTGGATAGTAATTTTTTTGTCAAAACGATTTTGAATTGTTCTAATATTGATTTGTGGCATTACAGACTTGGATATCCTGTTGTCAAGATTATTGAACAGATTTGTAGAAAATTTTCCTATGTGCGTGTTGGTTCGAAAGGAATATGTGATATATGTCATTTTTCTAAATAATATAAGATTCCTTTGCCAAAAAGTAATAGTACTTCTCTAAATAGCTTTGATATGATACATATTGGTATATGGGATCCAATTTCCATCCCTTCCATTCATGGTCATAAGTATTTCCTTATTGTGGTAGATGAACTAGACACACTTATTTTTTTATAATGTGCACTAAAAGTGAAACTATAACTCTTTTGGAGAATTTTGTTATTCATGTAAAAAATTAATTCAACCAAAATATAAAGATCATTAGGTCTGATAATGGGAAAGAGTTTGAATGTACTAATTTTTACAATAGTTATGGTATGATTCATCAAAAAAGTTATGTGAAAACTCCTTAACATAATTCTATTGTAGAAAGGAAACATCAACACATTCCTAATGTAGCTAAAAGTTTGTTTTTCTAAATTAATATGCCTAATGCTTGCTGGTGTTATGTTGTTACCCATCTCATTTACTTGATAAATAGACTACCTTCTATTGTCACTCATGGAAAATCCCCTTTTGAATTGCTTTACAAAAACCACCTACATATCTTAATCTGAAAGTTTTTTGTTCTTTATGTTTTGCTTCTACTCATGAAAGTAATAAGAATAAGCTTGAACCAAGATCCATAAAATGTATTTTTCTTGGTTACAAATCAATGATAAAAGGATATGTTCTTTTGGATATTAAAACATGAGATATTTTCATAAATAGAAATGTTGTCTTTTATGAAAAAAAATTCCTTACAAAATTCCCAATGTTGATTATGATTCTAACAATATTTTAAACTGATTATGATTCTAACAATATTTTAAACGACTTTGATTTCATTCCTAAGCCTCTTGACTACGATAATGATGTTATTAGAGAACACACAAGGAATAGTACTTGCAGAAGTTACACTCGTGGAGATGATCATGATGTTAACAACATCACTCATTACAAAGAAGATTTTGACACTCATATGGATAAACATGATAGAAAAGGAGAAGGAGAACATTATGAAAGTAAAGATAAAGAAAATGTAAAGGATATTAGGCGATCTAATAGAGACAGAAAACCTCCAAAATATCTAAAAGATTATAAGGTTAACCGTTCAAGTTCTTTTCTTTTAAAAAAGGATAAAACTATATATGAAACTGCTTAGCTCAATACTTTTAGGATCAAAGATCTTGGAGAATTAAAATATTTCCTTAGGTTCGAAGTTGCTAGATCACAAAAAGGGATTCACTTATGCCAAAGGAAATATGCTTTGGATATCTTAAGTGAAACTAATGTTGAACAGTAAGTTGTGTCTAACCCCTATCATGAGTAACACTAAAACTCTTTTTTGAATCAAAGGGTCTTTAGCAAGATACAAATTCTTATTGCAAACTAATAGGAAAACTTTTGTATTTAATTAATACTATATTTGACATTTGCTTTGTTGTTCACTTACTTAGTCAATTGGTGCAAGCACCTACTGTTTATCATCAACAGGCTACTCAACACATCTTAAGGTATATCAAAGCCTTTGCACATGGTCTTTTTTTTTTCAGTTCTAAATCATAAATCTAGTTGAAAGGTTTTAATGATTTTAATTGGCAACTTATCCCAATACAAGACGTTCCACCATAGGTTTTTGCATCTTCCTTGGCTCTTCTTTGATCTCTTGGAAATCAAAGAAACAAAGCACAATTTCTAGATCCTCCTCTGAGGTTGAATACCATGCCCTTGCAACCACTACATGTGAGCTCCAATGGCTTGTCTATATTCGACAGGATCTTCACATTCGTCCCACCATTCCAATTGTCCTTTATTGTGACAACCAATCAGCAAGAAATATTACTCACAATACTATTCTTCATGAGTAGACTAAACACATTGACATTGATTATCATCTTGTTCGAGAGAAATTACAAGCATATCTTTTCCACTTGCTCCTCATTCGCTCAAACAACCAGCTCGCCAATATTTTCACCATAGGGTTTCACCGT